TGCTGTGGGTGCGGGGCAGCAAACTGGGGAAGGCCCTATCCTGTTTAGGTTTTGTGGTCTCGTGAGTAACTGAGTGGAAAAAAACAAGCTTGAAAAGATAACAGTTACAACGAAATTAAATCAAATCAGGCTCGTGACTCATTTATGGAGCCGTAAAAACAGAAAACAAAAACAAGCTGGCTCTGGAGAAGGGAGGCCAGGATGAGGAGGGGAGAAGTCGGGGAGGGAAAAACTAAACCAGCAGCAGCGGTGGTGGCCTCCTGGGACTGTGCGTTACCCCAACCATGAGGCCCAGCGCCGGCCCCAGAGTGGCCCGGGCCCGGGGGGCTCCGGAGCCGGGACACCTGAGGTCCAGGGAAGGGGCCGCAGACCTGAGATGCCGGCCGGATGGCTGGTCTTGTCCTCCCAAACACCCCCATGAGCTGGAAACCATGAGCGCGCCGTTCTACAGACAAGGAAACTGTCACTCAGAGGGACCGAGGGACAAGCCTCGGATCACACGGCCAGGAAGTGGGAGGATGAGATTCAAACCTGGTCTCAAAGCCTCTCCGAGAGTCAGTCTTGCCATCTGGAAAACAGGCGCCTGAGTCCCAGGCCTGTTCTGGGAGCTGCCCTGGACGCCTCAGGAGCCCCAAAGGCGAGCCGCCAAGCACGGCTGCCCCTCTCTAGTCTCGCTGTCCCATTTGTGCAATAGCAGGGTCACATCAGGCCACGTCGAAGGAAGGCCCAGGAGCCCGGTGGGTCTGACCCAGGGGAGCTTCAAAGCATGGCTCTGCCCATTTCCCGTCAGCCTCTGCCCCCCCCGCCGGAGGGGGGGGATGTAAGAAGAGCTAGAGGTAGAGCCTGGGGGAGCCCGCCCCACAGCCCTGTGACTCCCCAGAGGTTGCCCTGACCCAGGGACGAGATGGTGTCGGCAGCGGGGAGCTGGGCCGGGCGGACAAAGCAGGAGCACAGGGCTGGTGAGAGCAGGATTTAAGGCAGCTGGGAGTGAAGGGGCACTGGGAAGCCACTGCCGAGAAGCACACCGTTCACCACGCTGGGGAGGGAGGGCTTAGCATGGCCCGGCCTGGTGCTGAGCGCTTGACATTTGTTCATTCATTCATTCAGCCACTCTGCCAAGTCTTCAGTGAGCACCTTCTTGAGCCAGGTGCCATGCTGGGGGATAGGAACATAACAATGATCATGAGGGACAGAAATGGAGCTGCCGTCCTTGGGGCGGTAAACAAAGAAGCAAAACCATGATGTCTCAGGTAGTGATAAAAGCTACAGAGACGAACTAAGAGAGGAAGGGGGTGTCTGGGGTCAGAGGAAGCCTCGATGAGCTGTGACGTTTGCGCAGAGACCTAAGGGAGGAGTGAGAGCAAGACACCTTTGGGAAGGTATAGCAGGCCCTGAGAATGGGAAGGTCAAAGGCCCTGGGGTAGGACATGCCTGGCACATTTGAGGGATAGCAAGTGGGTCGGTGTGGCAGGGATGGGGTGAATCCTCCCAACAGCCAGCAGCGCGGGTACTTCCACTATCTCCCCTTACAGAAGAGGAAATTGAGGCTCAGAGAGGGGGAAGTGACTTGCCCGGAGTCACAACATCAGGAAATGGCAGCTCAGGGAGCAGAGTACAAGTCAGGCTGTGCGCGGAGGGGGAGGTTTATGTGACAAGGCTGCGTGGCCCAGGGGTGACTCCCAGGCAGCCTGTGTCACCTGCCCGTGTCATAACCACGGATGTGGTGACTGTGTACCCCAACAAACTTACACCCTATCCTCACCAGCCTGACACTCCTGCTTTCTCTGCCCAACCCCGAGAGCCTCAGCCCTGCACTCACCCTGCCTTCCAGGCCCTCTGAGGTCTAGAGGGCACTGGGTAGCCGAGAACCCAGGAAACTCATTCATGCTAAATTTTGAGTGACTGCTAACAATCCCTGGTTTAGCCCTATGCCTGGGTTGACCTTTAACCAGGTCATAGAAGTTTTGCAGCCTCGGTTTCCCCATCTGTCAAATAATGGGTCCACTTAGGTGGTCTCCACCAGGAGTTGAAGATTCTTGGGTGCACAGAGGGACAGGGCTTCCTGAAGTCACACAGCCAGGGAGGAACGGAACCAAGATGACCCCAGCCTACTGACTGCAGGGCACCGCTTTCTCCTGGAGCTCAGCCCGCTGTCCTGTCTTCACCAACCTCTCCTCTGCCACCACCCTGAACCCCCTCACTGCTCACAGTCCCAGGCCTTTGCACATGCTATCCCCTTCTTGGGAGTACCTTTCCCCTGGGAAATCTCCTCCACTCACAAAGAACAAATAGAGCAGGATCAGGGTGCAGAGAGAGACAGTATAAAGGAGGTGGAAGATATTGATGCTGGCAAGGGAAGGGGGCTCAGAGAAGGCTGCTCTGAGGGGTGGCATCCATGCTGAGACCTGAAGGGGGAGCGAGTCATGTGAATAGGTTTCCAAGCACAGGGAATAACATGTGCAAAGGCCCGGGGTAGAAAGGTCTGAGGCTTATTAGAGGAACAGCAAGGAGGCCATTGGGTTGGGAAGGAGTAGCAGGGGGAGGGTGGGAGGAGATGAAGTCATCAGAGAGGTACAGCGTTTGCTGGGGGAGGGGATTACACAGGGCCTTGAGGACCACGGGGGTGACTTTGGCTTTTACTCTGAGCAAGGCGGGAGCCCTGGGAGGTCTCTGAGCAGGGGAGGGACAGGATCTGACTTAGGTCTAAGGGGATCATCCCCTCTGGCTGTGTGTGGAGAACAAACTGTACGCATGAGGCCCCCAGGCTCGTGGCCTGGGCCAGCGCAGGGCAGTGAAGATGGGGGGGGGGGGTTGCAATGCAATAGCTTGTGGTGAGCAATCAGATGTGGGAGCAAGTGAGAACAAAGGGTCAAGGCTGACTGCCAGGTTTGGGGGTACACCTGGAGGATGGAGGAGCCAGTAACTGAGACGGGAATAGTTTTGGGAGAGGATCAGGGGTTTTTGTGGGTGAGACTCTGGTCTGGAGTCAGGGGAGATGTCCAGGTTGGAGAGATGCGTTTGAAAGTCTCCAGCCTTTAGGTGAGGACAAGGGCTGTGTCTTTGGCACCTGTGCCGTCCCTCACCTTCCCTCCCCCCAGCACCAGGCTGGCCTGGCGGAGGCGTCAGGGAGCATCTCGGGGACCCTCGAATGAATCCACAAGCACGTGTATTGAGTACCTGCCGTGCTTGGGGCCAAGCCGAGCTCTTCCTTTCACAGACTCATTTCTTTCTCGCAACATCCTAAAGGGGTAGATCCCACCGGAGCCCTATGTACAGAGCTGAGAGTGAAGGAATTTGCCCAAGGTGTCCCCAGCATTGGGGAAATAAACTATTGAATTAATTAATTTGGGAAGGCTGCCCTCAAAGAGGTACAGCAGGCAACGGGCGGGGCTGTCAGGGGAGAGCCCCCTCCATGCTTAGCAGCCACTGATCATGATGCTGGGGCTGGGGGAAGCCAGAGGTACCTGAGTCACCGACATCTCAACCCCCAAGCCAGGCGTCTGCTGCAGTGGGTCAAATACACAAGACAGGGAGAGAGACACACAGTCAAAGAGAGACAGGACAAAGACAGGGACACAGGGATCCAGGGAGACACAAAGAGAGACGGAACTCGGGAGGGGCTGACTCCTTTCCCAAACCTCCCTCCCCCAGGACTCCATCACTGACCCCATCATCCTCTCCATCACTACCATCCCCCTCCGGGGAAAGACTGAGCCTTCCCGCAGACAGTACTGGGCTGGAATCCTGGCTCAGGGGCTGCCCACCAGGTGACGTTAGACAGGTGACTCCCTCTCCCCATCTGTGAGGCAAGGCTGATGCTACTTGCACGGCGCCCTTGGCTGCCAGATGAGGTGGAGCGGGGGGGGGGGGGGGGGGGGGGGGGAGCTGGTATCTGGAACCAACAAGCACCCAAGAATGCTAGGTGCCCCCCACCCGGGGCTGAGGGGGGTAGTGAGGACACACTTTCTGAGGTCAGGGCCTGTGTTCCCCAAGGGGTCATTATTCATGTCTTCGTTCTTTCACCAAAGATTTATTGAGCCCCTACTGTGTGCCAGGTGCTGTGATGGGCCCAGGGGACACAGGTAAGTGAAAAAGGCAAACAAAAGCCCCTCCCCTGGTGGAGCTGATGTTCTAGAGGGAGAGACAGACAAGCAACCGACAATTGATGCACATGCACCAGGTAGAGAGAGGGGCAGTGGCGGGAAGAAATCAGGGCACATGGGGAAGAAACGCCTCCCGGAAGGGGGCTCCTTATCACATACTTGCTGAGTATGGGGCACTTTCACTGGATTTATCACACAGAATGTCCCTAGCAATCCAGGAGACAGCTCCTCTTCTTGTCCCCATTTCCCAGGTGAGGAAATAGACTCAGAGAGGTGAAGTGACTTGCCCAAGGTCACTTCTTGAAAGGGGCAGAGCCAGAATTTGAATGGGCCCCAAAGTCCTGGGCACAACCAGAAGCATATCATCCAAGGTGGGATGAGTCAATAGCACTCCAGCGAGATACCAGGGCAGGGGCTTGAATGCGGGACTGTCAGGCAGAGAACGAGGCTTGTGCCAGAGGCCTCAGCAGACAGCAGGCTAAGGACCGAGGGATCTAGGTCCTTGGGCTCCCTGGCAGGGCCCCAGCTCCAGCACCCACCAGCAAGGCCCTAGTTAGGGTGACAACCACACCCAGGCTCAGCCTCTGGCCCGCGCCGCCTGCTGGGAACACACAGTCCTCAGGACTAGGAGGCTCAAAATAGAAAGCTCGGAACCTGGGTCAGAGCCTGGAATGCCTGGGCAGGCAGGCCGGGACTCCTGGATCAGCCCGTGTACTGCCTGGCCCCGGGGCTGGCAGGGCGACAGAATCATCAGGATTCACTGCTAGGGCCTCGGTCCCATCTGCTCCGCTCCTGAAAGTTTCGGAGGTGCCAGCTCCAGGATCTCACGAACCCAAACTCATCTCCTGTCCTGGCTCAATCTCAGACTAGCTGTGTGGCCTTGGGCCGGTCACCTACCCCGAGGGACCTCCGTGTCCTTATCTGCCAAGAACTCGTAGAGTTGTTTGTTCGGTCATTCAGCAAATGTTTGTTGAGCACGGATTACGTTCTGGGCACTGTGCTGGGCGCTGGAGCTACAACAGAGAACAAAGCAGACAAAACTCTTTTTTTTTTTTTTTTTTTTTTACTTTTAAGATTTATTTATTTATTTGAGAGAGAAAGAGAGAGAGAGAGAGGCGCGAGCAGGGGGAGGGGCAGAGGCAGAGGGAGAGAGAGAATCTCCAGCGGACTCCCGGCGGAGCACGGAGCCTGACCAGGGCTCGAGCTCCACGACCACAAGATCATGACCTGAGCCGAAATCAAGAGTCGGACGCTTCACCAACTGAGCCACCCGGGCGCCCCGACGCAGACAAAAATCTCATGTCCTTGTGGATAAGTAAAATCCACAGGTGTCAGATGGTGATGAGCATCCCAGGGGAACATAAAGCAGGAAAGGGGGGGGGGCAATACCGGGGGGGGGATAGAAGGGGGGGGGGGGGGGGGGGCTCCATATGAAGATGACACTTGAGCAGAAACCTGAAGAAAGGGACAGAAGGGGGCCCTGTGGACACTTGGGTGAAGAGTGTTCCGGACAGAGGGAACAGCCCGTGCAAAGGCCATGAGGCGGCACGAGCTTGGCCTGTTGCGGAGACCCCGAGGAAGTCAGTACAGCTGGAAGGAGGAGTGGCGGGGGAGGAGGAAGAGGAGGTCAGACGATGGGGGGCCTTGTGAGTCAAGGGAAGAACGTGAGGACTGATTCTCCAAGCACTCGGGGTGCAATTCAGCAGGAGAACAACACGGCTGAGCCACAGTTTTAAAGGACCCCTCTGGCTGAATGTGAGGAGGGAATTTCTGGCGGGGGGGGGCGCCTCGATGGAAGCTTCTGTGCCACGGTGGACAGGAGGCAATGGTGGCAGTGGAAGCAGACGGAAAGACTTGGAGGGCCCGGAGGGCCTCAGGAGGCCCAGCAGGAAGTTGGTGGTCAGGCAGCCCAGCCCGGGAGGCTGACTGGTTTGTCCAGCCTGAAGCCTACGGCGCCCCCACCCCCACCCTGTATGGGCCTGTGGCAGCCCCAGGGCTGGGAAACGTGCCTGGAATGTCAGCCATGAGGCCCAGGGGTCGGACAGTGCCCGTGGGACCCGCCAGTGGCCGGGCGAGCACCCCGGCCACAGCCCTGCCCACACATGGAATCTCTTGGGCCCACTGACCGGGGTAAGTGGTAATTACAGGCCCTGGAGCAGAGGGGGAGGGGACCACAAGCCAGAGCCTCCCCCACAGCCACTCCCATTTACTGAGCACCTATTTCATGCTGAGCCCTCACCACACACCATCCCATCCCCTTGGCACCCCAATCCTGTGCCGCTGGGACCTCCACGTGACCCATCCTGCAGATGAGGAAGCAGACCTGCTGACAGTCCCATAGTAGGCGTCGAGATTAGTACCCAGGACCCCAAACCGCGCTGCCAACAAACTGCTCCAGAGACCGGGGAGAGTCAGGAGAAAGCTCTAGAATGTGAATCCCCTGGGGCTTTCTCTGGGCCTCAGCCCCCTCATCTGTCATTCATTCATTCATTCATTCCCAAGTGTTTACTGGGACCTGCTCTGCACAGGCACCGTGCTGGGAGCGCGATGTAGAGCAATGAACAACACAGACAAAACTCCCCACCCGAGTGATGGTGACATTCCAGGGGAAGAAACCAGTCAAGAAGTCAGATAAGCAAGCAGAGCAATTTTCTAGAGTAGGCTCTAAGTCCTAGGAAGAAGATGAAACAGCATGAGCCGATGGAAGGGAGGGCTAGCCAGGGACGGCCTCTCTGAGGGGTGACTTTGGGACCAAGGCCCGACTCACCTCATGGGGAGAGCTGGGGGGAGAGTGTTCTCCAGTCCAGAGGGGACAGCGAGTGCAAAGGCCCCGAGGCAGCAGCATAACTGGCATGTTCAGCCATAGGCAGGGGGCCAGTGAGGCTGCAGCTGAGCAGGGAAGGGGAGAGAATGGGTGGGCTGGGGTAGGAGGAGGGAATGAAGTTAGAAAGGGCTTCCGGGCAGGGGAGGTGATCCCCCAGAGCTTTGTGGGCTGCTGTGAGGACTCGGGCTTCCACTCTGAGTGCACTGGGAACCATGACGTTTCTGCGCAGGGGAGGGACAGGGTCTGTGTTGGGTTCTAAGGGAATCCCTCTGGTTTAGGAGGGCAAGAGCGGAGGCAGGGAGATGAAGAGAAGGCTGCGAGGGTCCCAGTGGGAGAAGGCAGTGCTGGCCCAGGGTGGGCCAGTGGAGGTGGACGCTTGGACGCTTGGAAGAGCTCACTGACGGCCCGGCCATGGGGCAGAAGAGGGATACCCGGGTCTGGAGCTGGGCAGCCAAGTGGCTGGGGCTGCCATCACCATAGTGGAGTAGATCCCAGGTTTGTGGTGGGGGCAGGGGGCTCTTCTGGGCATGAGGTCCCACTCGGGGTAGAAGAGGGGCACCTAGTCCCCCGCATCCCTGCCTCAAGCACAGTATCAGTGAAGGGGGTCCCATGGTCAGATGGCCCCAGAATCTATGAACCCAGAAATGCGGTGCTGTCGACCTGTGAGAGCCCTGCAGACACAGCTCCCATGACCAGCTCAACCTCAGCCCGGAGTGAGCAAACTCACTGCTCTTTGCTCTGCTCTGAGCATCCCGCCAGGCTCCCTAGAATTCTAGAGGGTAGGGGGTCGGGAGCGGAACAAGGTTGTATGTCCTTTCCACCCGTGTGCCTCCCCCGCCAGCCAAACGGGGCTGAGGAGGACTCATGGCCAGCTCTTCCCTCCACATCTGCATCCAGCCTGTTGCCTTTTGCCCTCTTCCCTGCCTACCCTACCACTGGACTCCGGCTGCTTGCCCCCCGCCTGCTCCCGAAGCCTTCAGAGATGGCACCCAGCATCCCTCGTGGGACTTACAGCTGGGAACTTGGCTCCGGTCCCCGTGACGCCAAACTCCCCGTGCATCTCATCATCACTTGGTTCTCCGATTCGAAGTTCCTGTTTCACAGATGGAGGAACTGAGGTTCTAAGAGAAGGGGCAGGTTCCCAAGGTCACAGACAAGGCAGGGGCAGCGCCAGGATTTAAACTCAGGTCTAATTCCAAAGCTCTTAACCCCCACACGGTACCGATGCTGGCTTAGGTGGGCAAAGACAAGGCTTGGAGTACAAGCATTTTATTTGGGAGGTGATTCCAGAAACGCCAGCGGGGAATGAGGAAGTGAGACAGGAAGGGAGGTGAAAAGGTCGCCTCTGTGGGCTCAGCATCCAGGAACCTCTGTGAGAAGGAGCAGAACACGTGTCTGCATTGCCCCAGCGCATCTACGTGCCCACTACCCCCTCCCCCGGCTAGGGTCTCTCACGTCTGCCCCACACTCTGCAGCCTGAGTGACTCAGGACCACAGCCACAAGTGTGCCCCCCCAGGTAGACACGGAGAGGACCTGGGACTGTGACCTTCCCAGAGGTGTCTTCCGTCCCTCTCTCTTCCCACGCTGCTTCTGACCCAAGAACAGAAGGCTGAGAAACCAGAGCTGGTACAGATGGGAAAACTGAGGACCAGAGGGGCCACCCACATGCCACGGGCTGCTCGGTGGGAGAGTGGCCGAACGGACCTCCCTTCTGGGCCACCTGCCTTCTGGAACAGTACTGGCCCCGGGTCATAGACAATGACCCGCAGGACGCGGCTGAGCTGTGTGACTGCGGGCCGGCCGCTCCTCTTCTCAGAGCCTGTGTCCTCCTCTGAAGAAAGGGACCATTAAGACAGTACGACAACAAAAAACTACCTCCCAAGATTTTTGTGGGGATTCGCTGGGACACTAGATCTAAAGGGCTTAGAACAGCACATGGCAAACAGCAGGTGCTCACATAAATGTTGGTGTTTAGAGGAGGCCATGCCCGGCGCACAGAAGGCGCGCAGCGAGGGTGCGCCTCTTTGTCATTAGAGTTGTCATCGTGGCTTAGGGCCCGTTCCATAACAGCCCGAGCCCAGGCGGTCCCCCAACAGGGACACGATGCTGGCTGAGTGACCTCCCCAATTTCCTGGGTCCCCCAGCCTCTTGCTTCAGGCTGCTGAACTTGGGAGAAACAGAGGAGGAGGAGGAAGGGGCCGGGGCCTAGGCCAGGCCTGCTAGCGCTAACTGCGGGCAGTGACCCCGCCGGAGAGGCCCCTATTCACCCGTCCACCCATCCGCCGGAGCCGCCTGCCCATTCCACGCAGGGGACGCCTCGTCTTGCACAAGACAGGAAGAGGGAGGCCCGGGGTGGTGGCGGGTGACGCCAGGACCCCATGTCCACCCGCTGCAGACAGGATGGGCAAGGGAGGCCCCAGCCAGGCTTCCTGTGTGCTGAGTGCACTGGGCAGAAAGGAGAAGTGGTGTCCGGGGTCACAGGGAGATCCGGGCAGTGCCTCCTGCTCCCCGGCCCAACTGTTCCACCCGATGTCCCTGATGCAGGGGCCCAGAGTTGAAATCCCACCTCTGCCATCTCCCAGCTGCGTGACTTTGGACAACGCAGCTCAGGGCCTCTGAGTCCAGGCCCTGCTGGAGAACAGGGAGGCCGTTCCTCCAAGCCTCCCAGCCCCTTGGGGGTATGTCACCACCGTGCCCATTTGACTGATGAAGAACCCAAAGCCACAGGCTGTTTTCAGGCAGCATGTATTATACTTGAAGATGTAGGGGCACGATGGGAGAGGATAGCTCTGAGGACCCAGTGCATGCTGGAGGCACAGTGATGAAGCCAATGTGCTCTCCTATCCGAAGTCCTGGGCCCCCAGCAGCCATTTACTAATCAATTATGACTCTCTCTCCAAGGAGTCCAGAACCCTGCTCAAGATAGCTCTCCAGCCACTGTCCGATCAAGCACCTGAGACCCGAGGAAGTAAGGAGAGTACGTCTGCTTGCTCCATCCCAGCACCAGGCTGGATCAGAGAAACGCTCCCAAGAAAGAGGCTGCCTTCTGGCAAGCTACCTTCGGATAGTTCTTCTAGAATCAGGGACCCCGAAACAAATCGACTCCTGCCCGCCCAGACTCTCAAGGCCCCCGCCTTGGGGACAAACCTGATCTGAAGAAGGCATCTCCCCAGCAGGGTTGCCAAGTGGTATACGAAGAGCCCATAAGGCAGAAGCGGCATACTGGGGGGACCACAGTGGCAGAGTACCTAAGTAACTGAGAAGAGGCTGGGTCCAGGCTGGGGCGGGGAGGGAGCCAGGAGGGGGACAGGCCAGGTCCCCGGCACGCTGCGGGCTCCACCAGCGGCTCCAGGGAAAATCCAGTGACCCGGAGCCCAAGCGGGGGGGGGGGGGGGGGATGGTGTGAAAGGAAAAATGAAACTGAATGCAGAGCCCTGGGCCTCCCGCCAGCCCCTGGCCATCCAGCTCTGGTTCACGGCCCCCACCCTGGTCCAAGCCACCGTCGCCGCTCACCTGGAAACCCGCAGTTGTTTCCAAGCCGCTCTCCCTGCTTCACCCTCGTCCCCAACACAACCTCCCCACGTGGCAGCCGGAGGGATCAAAAGTGTAACCCTGACCAAGTCACTGCCCTGATTCAACAGCCCCCCACCCCCGTGACCTCCCCTCACATTTAGGATAAAATCCACATGACCATGCCTGGCCCCAGCCCCGGATACCTGGCCCCTGCCCCCGCCAACGCCACCTCTTTCTCTTCCCATCACTCACCTCCCCAGAAATATAAACGTCTTCCTGTTCCGAAAATGAGTCCACCCCGATTCCCACCTCCAGACCTTGGCTTGCTGTTCCCTCCACCTGTAACAGTTCCCCCCTCTTTTCCCTTGGTGGCTGTGTCTCAATTAGTCAGGTCTCCATAAATGCCACCTCCTCTCAGAGCTCCCCCCCCAGCCCCTGCCAGGGGGGTTCCCCTGTTACCCACCCCCTCACTGGACCCCTCTGCTTATGTCTCTATAGCATGTATCCGTGTCCGGAAGGACCTCCTTATTTGTACGTTTGTCTCTCTCTCTCACCGGAATGCCAGCTCCACAAGGGCAAGCATCATATCCACCCTGGTCACTATTATGGCCCGAGCACCTGGCACACAGCAGGTGCTCAAAAGATGTTTGTGGAAAGAGACTGAGAGGAAACGGCTTCAATCGTGTAGTGTAGGGGGTTCTCACTGGGATCTGCCGAGGCCATATTCGCAGTCCTTCCCCGGGAATGAGAGGTCGGTCCCCCTGGGGTGCCAGGCCCCAGCCTGCTGGCAAGAATTCTGAGACCAGTGGGAAAGATGATTGATTCGTGATGTCTGCCACAGGGCAGGCAGGATGGTGGGGCGTCTGCAGGCACGTACGTCTGGTTTGCTCATCGCTGTCTTCGCAACACCGGGACAAGGCCTGGCACACAGCGGGTGCTCAATAAATATTTGTTGAAGGTCAAATACATGGGTTCTTTATCTAATTGGCTACTCCCTTCAGGAAGAAAACACCTTTAGTGCATTCAACCAACAACCATTGGCCAGCCCTTCAGTGAGGCCCACCGTGTGCTAATCCTGAGAACAGGCAAGGGAGAGGTTCTGATTCTCTAGTTGGAAGGAAGAGATGAAGGACGCCCAGCTAATGAGGCTCGATCACAAGGTCACCCAGCTGGGTTCAGCTGACCAGAAAGTTCTTCAAGATCCCAGTCTGTCATGCCTCCCCAGGGCATCCCTAGCCCCCTCCCTAGGGTTCAGGGGATGAGGACAGGCAGCCTCTACTTCCCTTTTGGGGCATGCCACAGGGCTGTGGTTCAACGGAAGCAGGGCCCCTGCCCATCCCAGGCGCGAGCCTCTGAGGGCCTCACCCTCCCCATTCCCAACCCAGACTCTTCCCAGCTGACTATGGGGCGTCGGTTCTCCGTTCCTCTTTTCTCTGGGCAGGAGGAAGTGGGTGGGGTCATGGGAAGATCCGGAGACTCAGTTTCCTCGTCTGACAAGTGGGTTCAACTCCTGGCACCTTCAAAAGCTGGTCTTCAGAAGTGGTGGAGATTCAAAGAGACCATTCATGAAAGATGCTGAGCCAGGGCATGCCAGGTAGTCAGGTGAGAAGGCAGAGGCAGGCAGAGATGCCTCATGACCCCATCTCCCTGCTCAGACCTTCCCAAGGCTCTCCGTTGCTCTCTGCATAAGACCAGCCTGCTCTCCCGCTGTGGAGCCTGTCCAGCCCAGGCCTCAGCCTTCCCTACTCCCCACTCACCCCTCACCTCACAGCTCCAGCTACAGGGTCTTTTAGGTTCACCTACTCCTCTGTTCTGTCCCACCACCAGGGCCTTCACACTCGCTGTGCCCACTTGCTGGAACATTTGTTCCTTCCTTTCTCATCTACTTGGCCTCTGTCACCCTTCAGTTCTCAGCTCGGCAGCTTCTAGGAAGTCTTTCTGACCTCCCCAATCACATCAGCCCTCCTGCCCGTTGCAGGCCCTCGCCGCTCTGTACTTCTCAGTCACAAACTGCCATTTCTGAGAGTGATTTGGCTAATGTCCATCCCCCAGAGTGGACTAGGAGCAGCTTGTGGGCAGGGGTCGTCGCCTCCCCAGCACCTGGCACAGAGTAGGTGCTCCATTAACATTTGCTGAATGAATGAATGATAAACACAGAATGAATAGTGCAATGGACACATCATGCCCCCAGACACTCCCTCTCACATCCTGCTCTGGCCTTGTGCCCTGGGCCACCCCTTACCTGCCCAGACCCCCTCCCCCAGGATGGCTGCTTCAGCTAACCCTGCTCCTCGTCCCCAGAGCACGACCTCCCTCGCCTCTCACAGCCTCATTTTCCTGGATGGAAACCAGAGACGTGGACCTTGATCATGGGCTGGGTTCCCCCGAGCCTGGTATTCTAAGGATGGGTCTTGGGGTCACCCTGGAGAAGAGGTCAAGGCCAGGAAGCCCCCATTCCCGATATCAACTAGAATAGCAGCCCCCCCCCCAATTATGTTATACTCAGGGCAGTCACAACTTAGGTACTTTGACAGGAATTCGGTTATACATGCTCGGGAAAAAATAAAAAGACAGCCTCAGAGAGAAAAGAGCCGACTGATGGTGGATATGCCAGGAGGGGGAGGTATGGGTTAGCGGTTCCCCCACAGTCTCAGTCTGCTCAGATGCAACCCTGTTTCCACATCGTGGCCCCCGGAACACAAGCTAGGGCTCCCCTGGGCGGGACCCAACACAGGAGGGATTGGTGGGCTGAATTTATGGAAACCGTACATCCGCCTCAGTTGGGGAGGGCTGTGTCCTTCCTGTGGAATCCCCAAGGGGAACTTGGCCGTGGTCAATTTCCACCTTACAAGCCAGCTTTAGAGCCTGCACTTGGGAGACGTGGGCCACTGCACTGGGATCTTCTGTTGAACAATGGGTACCACCTCTCAGAAAAAAAGAAAAAATTCAAACCATCGGACAAGATGTCCCCACAGGGAGCACTGAAGGTGGGCTGAAAATTCCTACAGTCCATTCCTGCCCAGTGTCACCTCCGGGCTCCTGAAGGCCCTGTTGCCCTCTGTTCTCAACAAGGTGGAGGTTCAGAGATCCTCTCCCCACTGCCTGGGACCCTCCCCTGCCCCGAGGTCCAGGCAGCACCCCGGACCCTCAGCCAGGAGTCACCTCCAGACCCAGACATAGTCTCCACGGCCATCCCTGGGAGGTTATCTTGCCAAGACTGTTGCCAAGCACAGTGTTTTGTGCACCACCTGTGTGCCAGGCCCTGTGCTGAATAAGACTCTAGCTCCTTGCTAGTGCTCACCTTCAGGGTGGGCACATGACACTGAGCAAATGAGCACATAAATAGGGGACGACAAGTGCACAGCAGAAAAATGAATGAGGGCCGGGATGGAGAACGAGGGAAGGGCTGCAGTAGGGGCTGGTCTGGGAGGCCTCTGGGCAGAGCACAGGCCCAAGTGAGGAGAGGGAGCAGGTCACGGGAAGACCCAGGAGAACAGTGTTCCAAGCAGAGGGAACAACAAGGGCAAAGGTGGGGAAAGTGCGGGGGGGAACCGTGGGGTGTTGTTTAAGAAGGAGTGAATGTCAGCACGGCCAGAGGAAGGCTGGAGGGGCGGGGAGGAGAGGGGCCCAACCTGCAGAGTCCCCTGAGATGGGGAGGACTTGGCTTTCCTGGAGGCAGGTGGGAGCCACGGGAGGGCTCTGAGCAGGGCAGCAGTGTGAATGACTGAGGGTCCGGGAGGACCCCTCAAGGGGTAAGAATGGCGGCAGAGGAGGGGAGGCAGGTCAGATTCTGGACACGGGTGGAAGGTAAGGCCGATGGGGTTGGGGAGAGCAGAGTGGAAAACAACTCCAGGGTCCGAGACCTGCTGGGTGGGATGGCAGCACCATTCTCTGAGCCGGGGAGCGGAGGGGGACATGGCGGTTAAGTGACACCCACGTCTCTGGAGGAGGAAGAGGCTGGGCTCAGGCAGTCCGGGAACAGGGGACCCCATGCGGCTGGCTCACCAGGCACGGGCAGATGAAAGCAGCAGAGAGCTCCACCTCACCTCCAGGGCCACTTGTGAGGCCCAAGGAGGACCAGGCAGGGAGGAGGAGGAGAACCAGAGAGCTGGCACCTGGAGGCCTGGGAAGACGGTGTTCACCACCAAGAGAACAAGCCAGAGAAGGTTCGGCACATCCAGGCCTACCGGCGCGGTCTAGAGGGGAAATGAATGTCAGCAAGGGCTGGAACCGGTGGCCGGCCTGGCTGCGGCCCCATCACCCTCAGAGCCATATTTCTTTGGGGGCAACCACAGAGGCTGAGTCCTGATTGATCTAAGTCAGCCATGGGAACTCCTCTCTGGCTTAAAGGTGGACATGTGACTCCACTGTCACCCTGTCACAGGGAAGTCTACTGGGACATTTAGGAAATATTTTCCTGCTTGATAAAAGAGTGAGTTTCTGGATGAGAAAAATCCCTTTTCTGCCCACCCCCTTCCCTTCCTAATTAAGATGTGGTTATGTGGGATGTGACATCTGGTGCCACAGCAGCCACTGGGGCCCATGAGGAAAAGAACAGTGAAGAGATACCAACCTAGAACCCAGATAGCGGATCCCAGAACAGCCCCATATCCCGACTTCTTGTTCTAAGATTTAATTCAATGTCTTCACTGTTCCAGGCGTGGAAGATGAGCCTAATTGGGACAAAAGGAAACTGGGAATGAACCCTGAGACAGGGAAGAAAATAGAGAGGGGGTGGGAATGAGGAGGCTGAAAAAGGGTCTCTCATTTATTTATTTTTGAGATTTTATTTATTCATTTGACAGAGGGGGAGAGAGAGAGCGAACACAAGCAGGGGGAGCTGCAGGCAGACGGAGAGGGAGAAGCAGGCTCCCTGCCGGGAAGGGAGCCCAACGCAGAGTTCGATCCGGGGACTCTGGGATCATG